CAGTGTCGGCTGGCGACCCCCAGGGGGAGGGCCTTCTCTGTGGGTGCCCCCGCCCTCTGGAACGAACTACCCCCCCAGATCCGGGTGATTCCGGATCTCCTTACTTTCCGCCGCGCCCTCAAGACATGGCTTTTCCAGCAAGCGGGCCTGGCCTAGGGAGGATTTTTAAATCGGGTGCATTTTTAGAAAATTTTAATTATCACAACTTTAAAATATTTGGGTTTTAAATTGGTTTTATTTGGCGGGGATTGTGGGCTTGTTTCTGTTTTAAATATGTTGTGAGCCGCCCTGAGTCCCTCGGGAGAAGGGCGGGATACAAATCGAAATAAATGAAAATGAAATGAAATGAAATGAATGAAAAACCTCTCCAGACAATGATAATTGTAAGTTTTCTCATTTTTAACAAGTCTTTCTTAATTTCATTCCACATCTTAACATAATTTCTCCTTCTGTCCTGGCCACTTTTCACAGAGGCACAATTGAGAGCGTTTTAACAAACTGCATCACTGTTTGGTTTGGTGGTAGTAGTGCCTCAGATAGAAGGTCCATGCAGAGAGTGGTAAGGACAGCCGAGAAGATTATAGGAAGCTTGTTTCCCATTATGCAGGACACTGCTTAAAAGCACTATGTGCTTAAAGCTTGAAATATTGTTTAAAGACCCCACACACCCACTTCATGGGGTCTCTTTTTTATCATAAAAACATTTTATTCATTGCAACAATACAGAATACACTATAATATGATAAATGCGTAATAAAAAACATTTGTAACAATAATATTTTATATTGTAGTTATGCTTACATGCCTATTAATTATTATTTAAATGAGTACAAAAGAAGGACTGTCCTCCCTAAAGGAGGACGATTGGTCAACTTACTAATATATTTTCTAATTATGATTATATGCTTTCAGGCCTGTGTTTGCTCTTAGCTACCACATAGCCAGCTTGATAGATTTCTAACTAAAGAAAATAAATATTGACTTGCAAAGTAAAATTTTAACTACACATTAAAAAAGATAGAGGTAAGATTGGTTAACTTCTAGCTGCATTCTAGCTCCATTCGTCTTGCTTTTTTTTTAAAACAAATTTTATTGGATTTTTAATTCTTAGAACAAAGTGCTCAAGACACACCGTGGTGCTGGCGTAATCAAATATCCAGAAATAAAACCATATATGAATAACTCAAATCAATACATCTAATATTCCCTCTCTATTTCCCTCAAATAGCATACTATATTTAAAATAATCCATTTCTAATTTAAATTTCTATAAATCCTAAACTTGTTTTAGAGCTTTATAAATTTACAATTACCATAATCAAATTTAACTTTAAATAAACACATTATCAATTCAGATATCCCTTCCAGATATATTCTAGTTCTTGATCTCTTAAATCCTTAATTTTATCACAAGTCTCATTTATTTCTTCTTCCACTACACAATATATCTCCTAATTAAAATACAATATTAGTCTACCCTATACATATCTAATCCATCAATCAGTCAATCTCTTTTAGATAACAAGATAATATCAAACCTTAAATCATTTCAGTCCATTGGACGAGATTCAAATTTCATCCAGTTAATTATCATACCTAATAACATCCATATTATCAGACAAAAACATCATCTTACTAAATTAACATACTCGATTAATTATTGAGTCAATCCAGATCTAAAACGCCTCTTCAATTTTCTTCATTCCTTTACATAATGGTTTTCATACAAATAAACCTATTATTCCAAAAAATACATTCTTAATCTATTTAAGATATATATTCTAATAATCACCCATTTTTCTCTTACTTCTAACTCTAAATCTTAATCCTTAAATCAGTCCATAATTCTACAGTGCCTTTGATCCATTACATATAATTTTAAATTTCTCTTTTCAGTCTTATTCTCCCTTCTTTTTGTGCCAAGCAGGTTTCCACAGCAGAGCTTCCCTTTCAGCCGATAGGTCTCTCTTTGTTGCTTGTAGTGTCATTTGAGACAGTAAAAAGCATCCCGTCCTCTGCATTGGGCGTCTATTTCTCTTATCCTTAAAGCCTCGTTGCCTTAAAGGTTCAAATCTCAGGCTTTGATTTTTCTGATCCTCGAAAATATAGATGAAATGCTTGTAAGGTAAAATAAATTCCTCTTTAATCTCAATTGATTTCTTTTCTAGTATGTTTTGGTTTACAGAATGGTCAGATGTAGTCTGAAAGTCAGTTTGAAGGTTTGGAGTAAGGCTTCTGGCTCTTAATTCTGTAGTAATCTCTTTTATTGTAGCACATATTTCTTCAGTAGCCTCATAAATCTTTTCCAATATAAGTTTACAGTTTAATTGTGAGTAAGGTTTCTCCATTTTAGTAGTAATTGAAGAGAGTCCCTTTTTTTCTTTTAGTGGAGGCTGTATTTAATAAAAGTTAAGCAATATCCACCCCCACAATTCCCACAGCTGCATCATGTTATTTTTTCTCTTCAAGAGTAGTTTGAAGATCAAGTCCATCTCATCTCCAAATAATAATCAGCAATTGCAATATTAACTTTTCGCCACTAGATGTCCTCAGTAGATTAAAAAATCTTTTCAGACATCATTTCCCCCCCTTTTTTCTATCTTTTAAAGGAAAAGGTGGAAAAAGAAATAATCTTCCAGTGTAAAATAATATTACAGCTCTTAGAGAAGAGTTTTTTCTGTACCCCAAAGTAAATAAGAATAAAGTGTAGTCTTTACATTTTTTTGTTCTATCCTTTTGTTCAGCGCCTTTCTTTCCACGCATGCAAAAGCTGCTTTTTCAAGACAGGGAAATAATTCCAACAAGACTTACAGGCAAAAAAACCAGAATAGGGTGAAGAGAGGAGCAGAAGGGGTCTCACCCGGATCATCCGCGGTGGGTCTATCACGCTTAGATGTAGCTGTGACTTTCGGCTGGTGCAGCAGAGTAATCGGCCATCTTGCAGGATGATCTTTGCTCCGTCGGCCCTAAGGAGATAGCTGGAGCCACGAGAGAAGCTGCCGCTCTCCCACAGTCACCAGCAAGCCTCCTCCTCGGTGGTCATCCCTCAAGGGCAACTTTTGACCAACTAAGGGGTCTACCAGTGAAGAAAACCTGGCTGATGTGGAGACGAGGCTCCAGACACGACCGGAGTCACCGTGAATCGGAACCGGAAGTTATGGGGTCTCTTTCTGTTGCTCCCCTCTGGGAGGAGGTTTTGAAGTATTTATAGCAGAACTACCAGATTCTGTAACAGCTTTGTTATCTACGCCATCTGTCTGGTAAACTCGCAAGATTAGTTTTTGTCACCATATATATGTATACATCCAAACTAGACTTTGTTGTTTCTCTGGGTCATATATGTGTTTGTATGTGGGTATATGCGTATTATTTTTTTGTCATGTTTATGTAATGTATATTGGAGGTGATTACCCTTTGAAAGCTGTATGCAGCAAAATCTCATTTTAATGTATGCCGATTAGTGTATGTTTAAAGTGACAATAAAGTTATTATTCAATTTAATTCTATTCTAATAATAATTTGAAATAATGTACAATTTATGTCATTTTAATATGCAGATATTTTGCTTTTTTCTCAATTTGAAAACCAGTTTTTATCATCAGTTCTTTTTGAACTTCCATCCTCGTATTTTTTTCTCCTTACTAATTTAACATTAAAACAGTGTTTTTAAAAGGTTTGATATTTAAGCATTTTAAATATTTTTTAAATGGTAAGTGAGAAAACATGTTGGTCCTATACTTCCACTTTTGGAAATTGTAATGATGGCATTTCTCTCCCCACTTTCCTCTCCCAGTGTTTTCAATGGGATTCTGACCTCAAAACTATGAGAACATTCAGTGCAGTGATGAGAATGCTATGTCAGTGCAAGGAAGATGCCAGTCTATCATTTTGCAGGTAATGCTTTAGGAATGGAATGATCTGTATTGTAAGGAAGGCTTCAAAAATATCACAAATGTTTTCGTTTCTGTTGAACCTCAACTTGGCATTTAACAAAAAGGTTAAGACCTATAGTAACTCAGCCTGGCTCCCAAAACTCTCTTTGTAGATAGAGGCAGCAGAGGTAGGAGCCCTTATGAATGAATGACCCCTTTCTGCCTTTATAGATTTGTGTTTTCCTCTTCTACTCTTATCCCTTCCTTCCCCATGAGAGTGGGAAAAAAAGCAATGGAAGCAATGCTTATACAAGGTCACAGACATAGGTTCAGAATATGCACCAACATCAAACCTATTTCAGCATTCATCATCATGTTAGTCCTTTTCCTGGATGTTTATTATCTCACTGTCACATAATACAGAAATCTGAATAAAATTAAAGAGGAACTGATTTTTTTTCAAACTAATTTAAAAAACCAGGCTATAAAACAATGAAATGGCATACAGTGGCAGCATTTACAAGTTGTTCATAGGTGAATAGTAGAGAAAAGAAGGTATATTTTGAAATAAAATTCTTGCCTAGAAAGTAAATCTAAGTCAATTGGTATCAATAAAGATTATAGGGAATCACTAACAAAAGTGATAGAACTTCAGATTACTTTAATCTTTGATATACTGAGTAAAACTATGCCTGCTGATTCTCAGGGCTAGATTTCAGGATTCAGGAGAAACATCTCTTCTGAATGTGGTCACGTGCTTCTTAAAATTAGGTTTGTAGTTTGTATTTCCTATTCTTAACCAGCCATGAAACATAAGTGATAAGGAGGACTCTTTTTAGCTTTGCCTATGAATCAGTTGCATCATTACATGGAGGGAAAAGATCAATTTATGGTGACTCATATGCTGGTAACTTCAAAATCAAATTATTACAGTGTGTTTTGTCTGTGGCTTTCCTTAAAGATGGTCCAGAAATTGGAACCAAACCACAATATAGCACAACCTCCCAAAGGTCTGGCATAACCTCCCAGTTCAAATATTTTTTTTCTAGTTGTTGGTGGCTTTGTGGTACCAATACAAGCTGATCACAATGAACTTGGTTTACGACAAGTTTAGTTGAGGATTGCTTACTCTGACAGAGTACGCCTCACACTTTTAGGTCACCACTGAAACACTCTTGGTGAATCTTTGCATATATTCATTAGATAGCTGTGATTAACTCTACTTTTCCTATGAGAGAAGTTATATGGGGGAAGGTACTGACACTGAGGTTAAAGCAAACCTTTCCTTTTGAAGCTAGGGCTTAAAGCAAAGTTATTTGCCAAGGGATTTTAATTGTAATTTTGCTGCTCTTATTATATTTCTGGAGGCAGCCCAGGACCATGTTAGGAATGGGCAACATACAAATACTCTAAATAAATAAAAACAAATGTGAAGGGTAGAACGGGGCTTATCTATGCTACTACTTCATTGTGAACTCTGTAATTAAGTATATATTTCTACTTACATGTTTCTCTCTTGATTTCACAGGTTTGGTTTAAGGTCATGCCCAATATGTTTGGGCGATCCTAGAGATCCAGTAAACCTTCCTTGTGATCACATATTTTGTTATGATTGTATCAAACAGTGGCTGGGGCCGGGACAGATGATCTGTCCACTTTGCTTGGTCAGTCCGCCAGATGATTACAATCCCACAGTATCTGAGGAGCACAGGTGAACCTTGTCCTTCTTATCCAGCAGATAAATTTTTCTGAGGACATTCAGTTGCTGCATTGGCTCTGCATTTCTTGGTAGTTTACTAGATAAATAATAACTTACCATTTTCTCCACAGCATTGCCATAAAGAAAAACACCCAGTTCCGTAAATTATGCAACAATTTTTTCATAGACCTGGTTTCCACAATGTGTTTCAAAGGCAACAATCCCCCAGAGAAATCTGTGATTGAAGAGCTATTGAATCTGATGTTTGTGCACAAGTCAGTTTTGAAAGGTATGATCATAACATCTGTTGAGATTGTTCTAACCTAAAGGGAAGGATTGTACTGTTTCTCCAGACTGATTTGCATTATATCCTTAGGCCCTGAAAACTTACATACCAAATCTTTGTCCCCCTTTGATGATGTGGTGGATAAAACTCCTGTAATCCGTTCTGTGGTGTTAAAATTGCTTCTGAAATACAGGTAAGATTTTCAACTGGGATGCATAAATCGGGGCAGAACATTCTACTTCAGCATCTCTGTTGCATGAACTATTTTCATTATACGCCTCCTTACAGTTCAGACATCATTTTTTAAAACTTAATTGATTCTTCTCCCTGCTCCCTTCTACAACTGCAGAAATGCATCCTTATGATCCTGGGGATATCTTTTTTATTTCCTGAAAATTGTTAAAAATAATAAAAAAATCCCTACATTATTTGTGGATAAATGGAGGTTGCTCTTTTCATAGCTTCAGTGATGTGAAACTCTACGTACAAGAGCATTTATCACAAGTTGAAGCAAATCACATCATGGACAAGGAAGATAAAATAGAGCTGTACATGCTATTCATCAGTTGCTTTGAGGTAACTGTCTTTTTCAGATTTCTTTTAGAGGGAAATGTGGCCAGTGGGACAGTAGGTTGATGAGGAAGAGTATTATATTTGCATGAAAAAAGTGTGTGCTGCTCTCCTTAAAGAAAAAAGAGAAGGAAAGGAAAAAGATATTTGTTCCTAAAGAATCTGTAGTTATCTTATTTCTGCTATGTTTTTTGGCTCTTGTACACTTTGATTTTCTCAAAAAAATGTACATTGTGTTTAGGTCAAACTCAAAGACATGATTAAGATGCTGCTGTTATGCTATTGTATCAGAATCTGCTATATTGTAGTCAACTTTGGTTCTTAATTGACTTTTACAAATCTAGAGGAAATGACTGAAAATTTAAAAAGTAAAGTGAATCAGTGTCTTTAGTCAGTCCTTCTCATTTTCCAATTTAGTTTTACATTCACTAAGTTATCAATTGCTGAATCTAGGATTGTTAAGCAGCTTTTCATAGACCACATTGTGCCAACTTTTATTAAAATCAGCTTAAATCATGTTGCAGATCATGGCAAATGAACATAGTTTATTAATTTTACTAACTGGAGATTGTCACCATGTTCCTGATTTTAACAAACCAAATGATGTATGTATGCACTGTATGTATGTATGTATCTTAGTTCTTAGTACCAGGTCTCCCTGTAGCCCTTTTTTTCCTGAATGTTTCACTTTCATCTGGAATTCTCACTTAAGAAATCTTTCAAGTTAAGGCCATTCCAGTGAACACATGACCGAGGCAGTTTCCAGTTTTGCTTGCACACAAAGTTTCTCCCATAAACTTTGGTTAAAAGTCCAGAAATCTTGATTGCACCCTAAGTCAAAAGTGTAAAGCTTGAAGGCATGCTTGGGCAGATTGGAGTTGGTAAATCTACTAGGTCTAAAACCTACCCATTCCCTTAAGGCACCCACCAAGCCAAGGGACAATGCTTATCCTTAAGCTGGAATACTATTTTCCCCTTCATCTGCCTTACTATGAGTTGTCATAGTAGGGGTTGTCATTACTTAGGGGTTGTCATTATCTCCACTGTTCTATTGCCTGCTCCCAAAGAGTAGACCTAATTATTTTGTTGAAAATATTCCAGATAGGTTCTTTGAATATGCCATCCCTGAGGAGCTCAGTAAACTGTCTAAATTCTCGATCCAGCATTTTCTTTTATATATATTTTTTCATACAGAAGAGTTAAAAATTGCTTAATTTGGAAGCTTTAACTGGTATAAAATAATGTGGAAAATATTCTTTTATTTTCAGGATTCATTGTGTGAGAAAATAGAAAATTTCCCCAAAGAAACCAAAATACGTTGCTTGGCAAAGGATGGGTATTTTCTGGAAAATTATATTCATCAGTGGAACCGCTGCCATCCAGTCTCCCAAAAAATTACCATTGAGTATTTGCAAGGGATTGCCAACCTCCGTCTATGCATGGATAGAGCTGCAGAGGTGATCTTTGAACTTCACGAAACTTCAGGCAAGTGGATTATGGTAGCCACATGGAAATGCTAACTTTCCAGAGAACTCCCATAAGCAAGTTCTTATTCAGTGGAGAAAAAATTGAAAAAAATAATAATCTTTTTTTGTAAATACAAAACTTCGCAAGATAAATTCTCTTTGCAGGATATGTTCTCCATCTTTTTAGAACTGCTGTGGTATGGTTGGGAATTAAATACCAACTTTTCTTCTTTCTGCAGACAATAGTGAAGATAAAGAAAAGCAAATCTACTTGGAAAAAGTGAGGCGGTTCTTCCACTGTATTCAGAATAACTGGCATAACATTTACCTTGTGCGAAAGCTTACTAGCCAGTACGGGTTGGAATTCACACAGAAGCTTTTGAGTAACCACCACTATCACTGGGTATTTCCATCAGAAATAATTGAAGAGCAACAGGTAATTCCAATATATTTCTGTTTAGGTAATTCCAATATATTTCTGTTAACAACTTATAAGTATTTCTGGAATAGCAATAGCTTCACAGTGCTTTATAGCCCTCTCTAAGTGGCTTACAGAGTCAGCATATTGCCCCCCAACAATCTGGGTCCTCATTTTACCAACCTCGGAAGGATGGAGGGCTGAATCAACTTTGAGCCGGTTAGAATCAAACTCCCGGCAATGGAATGCAGAGTTAGCCTGTAATGCTGCATTCAAACCATTG